AACAACAGTAACGTAGTAACTGTAACTGTCTTTGGAAACTTACATGAGGAAAAAAATCGCGACCGCCAGCCCTCCGTCCGAGACATCAGTTTACTTTCACTTTCCAGGATGTTTGGGCTCTGCAGTGATTGGCTCTGGTGCGCACGTGGCTACGGTGGCTGTCGTTGACAATGCTAGCGGAATTCGGAAATAATTTATGAAATAATAATTTATTAACGGTATCTTTATAGTCCAAACAAAGCCGACGTTGCACACCCTTAAACCACACAGCAGCCATGTTGAAACTCTCAGGTCAGTCTGATCCTGATCTGCAGAGATATTTGAGCCACACACACACACACACACACACAGACAGACAGAGATTTCTTGCTTTCTAGATAGAAGATAGATAGATATTGAAGGGGTGATTATAATCATATTTTGGTATTTATGTTCACTCTGCAGCTAGCTTGTCATTTTTAAAACATTAGTTTAGAATAATAAATAGTTAATTCATAATTCAATGATCTGTTATGGTCATATTTAAGTGAGAGGCTTAAGTTCAATGAAATAAGATTTCAAATAAAACAGTAATGTAATGTTTTGGAGGTTTGTTGTCTTGATTTGGGAGCTTTTCCAAGCAAATACTGAAAGTCTCCATGACACCCTCTTGCCACCCTATGAATATTTCTCTACAGACCTGCCTGTGTTTTTTTATTTATTACTATTTATTGACATGCAGCAAAGGGCCACTTGTTGGGATCAAACCCAGGCTGCTTTGGGCATGAGCTCCACCAGGTTAACTACCATTGCTAAGGTTAGCTAGTGTTGCACTTCTCAGACACCCATATTGACCTCACCCACAGGAGCCATTTCAAAGTAATATTTATGTGTAATCTGGATCATATTTTGGTGGTTATGTCCACTCTGCAGCTCAGAGATTCACAGTGCAGCGGGTAAAATGCTGACCGGACATTCTGAAAGTAAAACTGAATTGAATCCTCACATTTTGATACAGTACAAACTTAACTAAAGTATTATTTTGTATCGTAACAACATTGGATTTAATTGTATCCACTTTTTCTTCATAAATACACTGCAGACAGTCCTAAAAACCTCCTCGATATGCAGTGTTTTCCAGCTCGTCTGTTCTCTGTTAAAAGGGGTTCATGCCAAAGACAATGTTTGCCTTGGACAGTGTGTGCATGCTGCTGGCACAGTAAGTAAACCTTTGTTTTACCTGTTACATTACAGAATTGACTCAAACTGAGATGCCACAATGAAGAGATTAAATGGGACAAACTGGAGGAATTTTCTGGACATTTCTGGTCTACTTGGATCTGGATCTACTTGGTGAGACAATGCAACTACTGGGTCAAGCCTTGTGTGTCTGTTTTCAATTCATCGTCATTTTGATGGTTTTATCTATGAACTGTGACAGCTAATAGTATGATATCATCAGATTTTATATGCAGCAGCCTGACTGTCGACACAAACAAGGGTTTGTTAGTTGGAGTGGAACAGCTCATTCGTTGTCTTTGCTACGGTGAACCAGACTACTTACCTGAGAAGAGGTGGCTCCACTGTTCCTGCATGCCTAGTGATTGTGGTATGGCAGCCGTCCATCTTCCCAGCAGATTATCCGCCACGGTGAGCTGCCTGTCTGGATGCAGAAGATGTGACACCTTCAGTTAAACATCAAGCCGAGCCTTCATCAAGTCACCGTGGAAACCGTTTTGTGTTGGTTGTATAAATGCTCCACGAGGACGAGCATCAAGTGGAGCGTGAAACCGTGATGTTCTGTCATGAAGACTTTAGTTAGTGTTGTCTGAGCATGTACATGGGTTTAGGATGGTTTGCTATCAACGCGACAAGAAACTTAATTGGACAGACGCTAATACAAAACATTTTTCTCTCTTGCACCTCGTAAACTGTCCATTATAACAAAATCCGTACATGTACATGCTACTTCAGCTCATTTAACGCACCTTCAGTATGAAATTGGAGGATTTACATATGTAGAGTAATTGATAAGAGAGAAATTACCAGAAATCATCCAGTAATGTCCAATATGCAATTGAAGACATATTGTACATATCACAGCAGGTCATATATTTAATTCCATGGAAACAAAGGGAAGCTTTGGTTTTACCCCTACTGGAGGTAGAACAAAGCACAATTCCATGTTTTATATTCTCCAAGGCCTCCCATATATGAAATGGATTCTTGTACACAAATATTTTACTGCTAAAGTGGTTTAATTGACTGATATTGTGACACAACCCATAAATAAAACCAGGCCGAATGTTTTTCTGCACCAAATACTGTACTGCTGCTTTAAGTGACATCAGAATATGTTTTGGTACATTTTCTTTCTTTTTAAACTCCAGAAACTCACCGAACTTCCGCCTCTTCCAGCTCTCGTTCACTGGGATGCTCTGCTCTCTTCCTCACATATTTCTTCTTGCTAAAGAAATATCGCTCACTTAGCTACTTCCTGAAATCTTCTCATGGCCATCACCAGTTTGTTAATTTGTTTTTAGCCCAGGATGGCAGAGTCATTCAAGACCCCCCCTACTCTCCCTCTCATTGGTAAGTACTCATTGCCTTCGTCGGTTGGGTTGGTTAGGTTTAGGCATGAGGAGTGAGATTGGTTACGGTCAGATTGTCAGGGTTAGCCAATCAGAGGCAGAAAAGGGTGGCTCATGACTTTTCCATCCTGGGAAAAAAAACATTGCAACCAGTTGGCTGCTCATTGGCTAACCTGACGCTATGTTGCCCTATTGATAGCCAATGAATGAACACACATGAATGAGTGACAACTAAGACAACCAATCAGTGACTCTAATATTGCAAACGCAAGCTAAATGCTACCTTCAAATGTAACTTTTGAGGTTGTATTTCTGAAGTCTTAAAAGCAAAAATGGTTAAAATATTAAAATAATCTTAAAAAACACACCTATAGGTTATTAAAATGAGCTTGTTGAATAAACATGGTAAACACAAAACTACTTTAGTTTCAAAGTGTCAAAAGGCAAATAAAATATGATACGTATTCTTTAAGGCACATTTTTACACTCTCATGCCCAATTGTACATTAAAAGAGTTATTGGCTGCAGGGGCATGTCCAGACTTTTCATTTGACTGGTGTGGCACAAGTGGGGCACTAACTTATGCAGGGGTGGCACAAAGTATGTTTGTGAGCTTTCCAGTCATTACCAATTTATGCAATTCAAATAGGGACCCCAGTATGCAGAAATATTCAAGTAAACCAGGCAGAAGTAACATATATTTCTACCAAAAACTACTTGATATTATCATAAAGTGGGCATGTCTGCAAAGAGGAGACTTGTAAGTATCCATAGAACCCATTTTTATTCATATGTCTTGAGGTCAGAGGTCAGGAAATCCCTTTGAAAATGGCCATGCGAGTTCATTGTTTTTAAATGAACTGGCACACCCCTGATTGGCTGCTGTAATTATAAATGTTAAGGAGCAAAACTGTTGCACACCTGTAAGTTGACAGGTGCGTAGGAGAAGACCATGGATCAACAGTACAGAACAAACGACTGAGTGTGTTTCGGTACGCAGACCTTCAACAGGTAATGATGAAGGTCTGTGTAGCGAAGCGCTGTTTCATTAAATATCTCAAACACAAACAAATACTGTGGACTTTGGAAAACACTCTTATGATTTCAAGTTTAGACAGCTGATACCTCATATTAGCTTCATTTGAGCATCGCAGCGTGGAAAAACTGAACCCGTGTGGGCCGATAGCCTTCACTATAACCAGCTCCTGTAGGAATCTGGTATCAGTTTACATGCCGCATTGTACGATGACACGCGATCCCAACGCCACCACTGGCCCGTCCTCCTTCTAACTACACCAACATCTCCACTTCTCCTCCATTGTACTCCCCTCCAAGTAGGTCAGCAACCATGCCCCCATACACGCGTGTGACCTGAGCACAGCGCCATCCAGGATTCCAGACACGTTTCCCATTCTTCCCAAAACAACTGCCGGGTTAATGAACACACACATCACGGCACATAACGTCCCACCAAGCATTATGGATGTCCAACACAGCTGCTAGGAGGCTTTCATGCAGAGCTGGCTAATGTTAATCATTTCCCACAGTGTCATTAAAGGGGCAGATGGAGGCACGCGAAGGACTCACCTCATTGGTCTGGCGCTAAATGAGGCGGGAGGCCGAGAGATGGATGACTGGCTACCTGGAGGCTCTACGGGGGAGCAAGACTTCAATGTACGAATTGATGAATTTCTATCGTAGAAACAAAAAGAAAAAGTGTACAATTTCGAAAGACTAGAGATAGTTGTGTGTATCTCTTCCTTCGAAGACAATCCGATACGTATCTGGATACATGGGCTACGATTTGATACGATATGATCTGCTAAATCAGAATTGGTTTAATGTAGATGATTATTTTTCTAAATTAAAATAAGCCAATTTTCTAAAAGTGACATTGCTTATCTTCAGATAACTATATTTAATAAAAGCTGGAAAGTGTTTAATATCTTCTTTCTTGTGCTAGACTTGGACAGACTTTTGTCCAACTTTCCTTCCTTCTTATAGCATCTGGAGTAGTATGTCTTCCAAACATTTGATGGTGGACGTGTCTGTCTATGTTACTCTTGTCGTTCTCAGAATATCGCGCTTTCTAGTTGTACTTGATTGGTGAAGTGACTCCAAGCCAGTTTGAGACCCCTGGCCTTTAATCTTTTTTACTATGATATATTATGTATGTGCTGTAGCCATGAAATCAGGCATTTTCTCCTGGGTTTTCAACCAACTCGTGGAGTTAACATTAAATATCTAGCTTGCTACTAACTACAAGGAATAGTGATTAGCTAGCTAGCTACAAGAGATCAAATCTGCCAGTGACAATCACTCCAGCTGGATAAAAATGAGCACTCTATTCTTTAAAAATGATCACACATTAAGAAATACAATAAGAAACCTTTAATATCTCGGCATAAAAAAAGACAAAACGAAATAACCTTTGGTATAAAATACTTTAATAAATAATAGGATTGTTCTAAGAACAAACAAAAAAATTCCACTAACAAACCAAGACTTTTACTGAATTTTGTACAAAATAATTACAATGTTCTGCACATTCAGCCCCTCCTGTGGGACTAACACAATGTAAAATTTACTGACAGAATATGAATTTGGGTTTTACATGATTTGCATTATTAACAAAAACATAAAATATTGAAAACATAATGTTCATCCACAAATAGTGACAATATTTGACTCTGTTTTTTGTATTTTCACTACCGCTGTGGAGGTAATGCTCAATGTTTCTCTTCTCCTGTGTGTTCTTAGTGCAGAAACAGACTCTTTACATACACTGGACAACAACCACAACATCAACAACAACACAACTTGTTCCCTTCATTAGACCAGAATAGATACAGGAGGAGAGGCGGGGCTAAACGGGGGAAACAATGTAGGATACACACTCCCATTCAAACTGCACACCTTTTGATTTGTCTATGACGGGGGTTCAGTGTCTTGCAACAGTGTGCACAAGAAGGGTTTTCATACTCACTAAACACCCTGCTGTCAACAGACAGTAGAGTGGTGCATAACTGAAGTACGAGCAGGGTAAAGGGAGACTGACAGCGATGCTTTTAAGTAGTTTGGACCCTGCGACACGTAAGCGTGGATTAAAAATAGCGCAGGTTTAAGACGCAGGCACAGGGCTACTATATTTGTGCCATTTGGAGTCCCTAAGTTAGACCAAGTAACGAGTTAGGCCTCAGAACTTCTGGTGCCCTGAAAATTTGGGAGGGATATAAAAGGATTTAAAAAACTGGACGCTGTGAAATGTTCCTTTTCCTTCAGAGTATTTTAAGTGTAGACGTCTAAATTTGGTTTATGTGTCACTACAACTGTCAGAGGGGCACAAATTGAGGTTACTAATGTGTCATAAATCTCAGTATATGACTCACTATAGAGTAGATGACTGGTTCTTGTGTTAAAAGGACTAAATAAGCAAATGAGGAAGCAATTCTGGACACAGCTCAAGTCATTTTCCGTGACGCTGTTGGACAGAAAAGTGCACCTACTGAGCATCATTTCAAAGAAAAAGTGAACTCGATGAGGAAAAATCCATGAAATGAGTGTCCCTGCTGGAGGCCTGAAGGCTGCTGCCAGGTCGCCCAGTATCACCCACCCGTGCTGTGCACTGAAACTCTTTCGACCAGGATGCTGACAGGGTGTTTTTATTACTTATATACGTGCATACAGCCAGTAGGATGTGAAACACCTGTCTGAAATGAAACAGTAGAAAACAGTTTAAAACACAATTTAGAAGCTGTCTTACTAAAAAGCAGCACTGAAATAAATGACATTTAGATTGCTTTTTGGAGAGTTGGCCCTCATTAATTGAATTTGTGGGTGCAAAAGGGCTCTTGAAACCTAATTTGCACACTGGGAAAAACTAGAAGGTTGATTTTTGCAAGGATTGAATTTGAGGAAGGGCTAGATACGTAGGAGTTAAACAACTGTTATAGAAAAATTACTCCTGAAGGGTGGCCCTCAGAATCTGTTTTTTAGGGGCCCAAAAGTCCTTAAAACACAGTGAAATGAGCAGGACTGTTGCACAGGAGGTTCTTGTATTCAATGCAGCTCAGATCCAAACAAGCTCTCACAATGACCGACAGGCCTAACAAACAACTCTCCAAAAAACAGCTGTAACAAATAATCAGAATACATAAAGACAATCAATCATGATCTCTTTTCTTTTTTAAACCAATGCTCATGACTCAGTGGGACCCTGGACACAGTCCGAAAAAATCTGTATAAAACCTGTCAAAGTGTCAACAGACACTTATAAACGGAATGACATCATTTAAAAAACAACCACAAAAACGTATTCTTTAGAATAACTATGATACAAAGCATCACTTAAGTTACTAAATTCAAATATACACAGCCATTTGTTTCCATATTTACATATGTACATTGCAAAGAAAATAACCTTTAGTGTGGTATGAAGAGTTGTTACTAGGACATCGTTCCCTTTATATGTTTTTAAATTCTGCATAAACTCTATGGGAGAAGAGAAGAGGAGAAATAAAAGAAAGGGCTGAAGGCACTTTTCTACCAAAGCAAATACTGAAAAATCATCATGTAGACTCGCAGGAAGCAGACACAATTATCTTAAAAGGATATATGTAAGAACCTTTAAGCATTAACACAAAATGGAAAAGATGTTTATGAATGTAAACAAAAAATGCTCATGCCAGGTATCATACAGTGGATTCTCTGTGCCAACCTTCCAGGACTTAAATGCATATAAAATCTTAATTATTATTTTTTTAAGTTTTTTATCTTTTTTTTTTTAAATATAAAAAGACATGATATCAAGACGGTGTAGAAAAGGCCCGCAGGTTTGGGCTAAGGCAGACAGGAACCAAATGCACCAAACAGTAGAAACATTGTTAACAGCTGCCAGCCGATGACGTTCAGTTAGATCTCCAAAAGAAATAAAAAGGGAAGCTAGTTAGTGAAGTTAGTTCTGACGAGGCAAAGTTGAAAACAGCAACAGTCTGTAAACAGAAAACAAATCAGGAGCCAAGAAAAGAAAATTCTTTTTGATTGCAACAGTGTGACCATTAAACTGAAATCCAGAAATCCAGAAGCGGTGATGTTTATTTATTTATTTTTTTTTGCTTTTTTTTTTTTGGTTTTTGGTAACATAAGCCTCCGTGCTGCAGGCCAAAGACGTTAAATAAGGTGTGACAAACAAAAGAAAATAGAAAATTAAAGCATTTGTAATCTTCACTTTTGGTGCTTTTAAGAGTCGAAGAGTCAGTGACGTTGAAGACATCGCAGTTTGTTTTTGATTCAGGAAGGTCCCTCCTCCTCTCGTGTGTTCATACATAGTGGTCTTTAATGTCCTCGCTCAGCTTGGCAGCGTTGAGGTTTTTACACCGGTTGTCTTTGGGGCTGTACGTCCGGTGCGGCCCCTTGACCGGACCACTGCGCGACGTGCAGATGACCCCTCCCCTTACCCATCACCCCCTGTCCTGTGCCCCCGCTTTGGGGCACTTTTGTGGCGGACACTTCTCCCCCATGCCCAGCTCCCTCTCCTCGTCTTCCTCCTGCCCCTCCTCCTGCTCCCCTTCCTCCTCGGCCCCGTCGCACGTCCTGTCCGAGGAGCCCATCAGTTTCTGGCGGAGGGGGCCGTCAAACTGAATGTCTTTGTCGCGGTTGTCCTTGAGGGCGATGCGGTTGTTGACCGTGGTTTCCTCGGATCGGAGCGCTCTCTCGCGCTCTTTCTTCCTCTTTCGGGTCCACCAAACGCAGACAACGATGCAGAAGATCCAGAGGACGCTGAAGACGACGCACAGCACCGGGACCAGGTAACCTGAGGGAGGAGGTCGGAGCAGACGTTAGGAGAAAATAAAAAATATATTTGCTTCAACATGCCCCATTCACATACTGCAATAACCTCCAAAAACCCCACCCACCAAAAGATTATTTTTTAGTTTAGATGAGAGAATTGACCTTTTTCACAGCAGCCATATTGGCATGAAATAGTAGGTTAAACACAGGTGTTACCAATGATACTAAATAGGGTTCTGTTCCATTCAGGAACATGGAACCTTAATTAGTATCGGTAACACTTTACCCTACTATTTCATGTCAAAATGGCTGCCGTGAAAAAGGTCTATTAGAATAAATGTGTTCAGTTTTGTAGAGCGGCGGTTCCCAATTTGGGTCGCGAGGCCTTTGAAAATACACGCATGAGAACAGGCGACTCACCAACAGGCGGCGACTCCACCTGCGTCTCCACTCTGAATTCCACCACAGCCAGCATGACGGTGCTGTTGGGGCGTTTGGACAGGTCGCCGATGATGGCATTGGCCGCCTTCTGGATCTGCCCGTGATCGCTGTCCTTCGACCGCCCGTCCTGCTCAAAGGACTGCGCATGTGTGGAGAAAGAGAGATGTTCATTTCATTTATGGTATAAAAATCAACTTGCAGAAACTAGTTGAGCTTGGTAATACATCAGAGAGAGCGTTTCATTGCTTCTATTTTTTGGTTGAAGTTACGTTATCATTGTGTGGTAATGAAGCTGCCATAGAGTGGTTTGTTGCTGCAGTAGGTAACTTTTATAAAAATAACTTTTCGCCATGACTATTGAAACCTTCAGTAGTACATGAGACAGATAATCTGTGAAAAAAATCTGGTTCCTCTGGCTCGTTCTAGTGCTCCTAATGATATTTGTAAGAATATACCGGGCCTGAAAGAAAGCAACCAATCAGAGCCAAGAAAGACTGCTGATTTTTGAGTCTCACTCACAGGTTGAAAAATATCGATGCTTGGAATGTGACTCAACAATCAACTATCCTTACGCTACAAGCCCTTCGGTGTCTTTCCATCTTTCTCAATTATCTGTCCCGTGTACTACTGTCAGAAAGTTTCAGAAAATATGACAAAAAGTTATTTTTATAAAAATTACCTACGGCAGCTTTAAAATGGTCAGCTCTGCAAGGACATTTTAAGCATCTAGAAGTTGATTACAAGGAACCCAAATGCTCCCTATAAAAATGTAAACACACAAAAGCACCACAGGTTCAGTGATGAAGAACCTGACAGCACACATTCAGTCAGTACAGTAGAGAAAGAAAATAAAGCCCATTTGCCAAATGGTCTGAGTCTTGCTTGAGGCTATGCAGGACAACAATAAAAGAGAAAGAAAGAAAAAAACACACACATTCATCCGTCAGAATAAAAGAGATTCTCATCCTAACATCTGGCAGGCTGTGGACCCCCCCCCTGCTGAGACCACAGAGGGTGGAGTTAATTGCCTAATAAGGTGCTGAGGGTGAGAGCAGGGAGGTGGTGGGGGGAGGTTAGAGGGGGGATTAGCTGTGTGCTGTGCAGTTCAATTAGGACAAACAATAGAGAACAGGCCAGCTGTGCTCCCTGCTCGGCCGGGGACAAACACTCCTCTTTTCTTCTCCTGGAGAAATCAGCGGCTCATTCACACACCTCTAACCCCGTCCCCCCAAAGTGACTGACAGACCACATCATAGCGACACAAAGCTCAGTATCCACCCTCAGTACTGTAGACTGTCTGTGGGGTAAAAATGATCATCTGCTGAGAGCTGGCAGGGGAAGTAACGTGCACCAAAATCTATATGACCTGCAGAAACAGACTTTCTATATAGTTATTCTTAATGCCTGCCACTGAGCCGGATTCCCCCTGACATCAATGAAATGAGGCGGTGGAAACACTACCACTTTTATCCACAGGGGCCGCCAGAATCAACACAAACTGAAAGTTCCTTGTACGTAATTAAATCTGTATCGAGTCTCGTCCGCTTTAAAGGACTTTGTGACGATCTAACTTTGTGAATCTTCACCAAACAGAACGTCTGAATGTCGCTTCCAAATATTTAGCTAGAACTCCTCGACGATCACTTGATTTCCCTTCCAGCACACTTGACGCAGCCTCAACATATCAAGATAAAGCGGGGGGGGCCCTCTCGCTCTCCCATGCACTGAAACATGTTGAACCATTTGTTTCTTGCTCAGGTTTGAGGCAGAGCGGCAGAGCGGATCAGGTTCAGGGGTTTACAAACACACCCAGAGCCTTTGGAAGAGGATAAACGGACACGATTCGGCGGGCCGCACTCCGCCAGGCGCGCTGACATTATAAAGATTTCACCCACACTTGGAAATGAGCGCTGACATTTTGCTGCAACACGAGTCGGCAGCGAGTGGGAGTTTTTTTTTTTATGAAAGCCTTGTTGTGGGGTTTGGGTAGATGTCAGGTCCGCCACTCCTTTTCCTGTATCTGTCGCTCAAAACAGGCTTGCAAACATCAGAGGAACAAGAACTAATCCCCTCCATTAAGAGCTTAGTGCCCCGAAGTGACTGATTTCCCCCGAGTCTGGGTGGCCGAGAGAGAAAGAAGGAGGGAAGAGAGAGAAAAGAGGAGAGAGAAAGACGGACAATAAAAGAGGAGGGGTAGAAAGTACAGTGATAAAGAAAGAAATAGCAAAGAAAAGCAAAAGAGGAGAAAGAAGAAGATGGAGGAGGACAAAAAGAGCAAAAGGAAGAAGCAAAAATGGATAGCAGAAAAAGAAGAAGAGGGAGAGCAGAGACAAAGATCAGCAAGGTGTTCCAAGAGAAAAGCTAAATCTCATCCAGATGTGGTTAAAGCTTCAAACGCCTCTCCCTCTTCTTTCTTTTCCTTTTCTCTTTCTTGTTTCTTTTTTTTAACTCAACGAGGGAAGAAACAGAAAATAGAAAAAGGTTCAGATTTTACTGGACTCCTCTGGAAACCATTTGCAGTGACAAATTAAGTGTGATTTAATAAAGTGGGAGAGGAAAAGAGGGAGCAGCGAGGTGTGGAGAGGGAGAGAAGGCAGCAGCTTCTAAATCTGTAGGTGTTGGTTGGTTCGTATTTGTCTGTATACCTGCATATCTCTAAATAACGTGGTTTAGACTTCATAGAAAACTACAAAAGGGGAGAAGATGCTGAAAATTAGACCAAAGTCATAAGAGAAAAAACACAATTATCTTTCAATAAGACGTGGCGGCGGAGAGCGTTGAAGTCAACACGAGGAGCATTCAACCGGAGCGGTTAAGCCAGCACCGGAAGCAAGCATTAGCTACTAGTCTCCGTTGTGGTTCAGGTGTCAGAAGCGGTGCGTCTTCAAGCAGTCTGCGGGGGCGGTTTGGGGTTAGGTGCCTTGCTCAAAGGAGCTTCGACAGTGCCCAGGAGGTGGAACAGGCACTTCTACAGCTACCAGTCCTCCCTCCATACTGTGGTCTCGACTTCCAGCCTTTGAATGAGCTACTGTGTTCAAGCACAAGACCACCACAAAGAAAATGGTATATATCAGTGTGTGTGTGGGCATGTATGTGTATGTGTGTGTGTAATAATCACCATGGCGACCTCCACGGCGTCACTGTTGGAGTAGGACAGGTCACAGAGGATGAGCAGCGCTCGCTCCTCTGCCAGCGTCTGAGTCACTGGGAGGTACCTCAGCTCGGAGCAGATGTTCTCTACAGTGGTGCCCTGTGACACACACACACACACACACAAACACACACACACACACACAGATAAGACAGATTAGTATCAGCACTGCTGGCGAGGAACAATCAGCTTCTAATTCCTCCTAAGTCTGTTTCAGATGCAGCCAATCAGAAAGCCTCGGCCCAGCGGGGGACACTGTGGCTCGGATCTCAGATCAGTATCTGTGTCGGAGGAATAGATTCGTTTCCATTCATAAAACTTTATTCAGACCTGCCGCAGGGGGCCAGTTAAGGTTTCATGAGACAGTAGTAAACAACAAAAATACCATCTGGACAGACAAGAGAGTGAAGACTGAAGTTTCATTAAGGACTGAACACGTCTGTCACTTTAATTAGAAGTTTATGGACTCGCTGTCAGCTTTTGTTTTCACCACGTACAAAGTTTTTCTGGATTTTGGAGATTTTTAAGACATCTAAATCTGATTTAAAAAAACACTCCTTTACTTTTTACTTTTTCCCCAAATGATTTAATTTTACTATCTGGGAAAAGACAAGAACGGCCTCCAAATGTATACTGATGGAGAAATTACACAATGCATGGTAGGGTTGGACAGTATATTATACCATACCAAACACTGACTCTCATCTGTATACACTGAAGCATGATGTGTGATTGCTGCTCTAGATTGAAGATAGAAGACATCTGAAGTCACTTTTCACCCATAAATTTCATGAAATTAATTTCCTGCACTCCCTTTTTTATTACCCAAGGAGAAGGAAGAATAAAAGCTGTCAAACTGCTGTGTAAAGCCACAGGTTTTCACTCTGGGCCATTGAGAAGCTTAAACACACATTTAAGGTTGAGGTGCCTTGCTCAAAGATGGCAAAAGTGGCAGTTAAAGTATAGGAAAGCCTAACTGAATCTGTTCAAGATTCTTAAATGTTGCGATTAATCACTTTTTGTATGAAATCTCAGAAAATAGCATCCAAAGTAACATCTTCAAATCAGCTGTTAGTCCGACCAACAGTCCAAAACCCAAACATATTCAAGTCACAATAATGTAAAGTAAAGAACTGTTGGTATTTTTGCTTAATAAGTTACTTTTAATTACTCTGAATGATTAATCATTTATTCAAACACAAACCATAAACTATAACACCACATTATCGACATACAGGGAGACCCTCACCTGTGGCACTTTGTCCTTCTTGAAGATGAGAGTGATGTGAGCACAGCTGTTGTCAAGGTAACCACTGTTAGGCTCACACTGGGTGTGCAGGGGTGTTGGGGGGTCAGGCGTCGAACACACGCCCCACTGGTGGCAGGGCGGCGAGAAGCAGGTGAGGAACTGATGCTCCACGCACTCGTGACCTCCGGGGCAAGACGGAGGGTTTGCTACCGGAGGAGGAGGCAGAGCCTTGGGGAGGAGGCAGGGCAGCCGACCGCACCTCACCTGGAAGAACATGGCTTCAGTGACTTACAGGTTTTAACTTTATAAACTGCCCTCGCAGACACTTTGCTGTTAAGTCATTATACAACATTATTTTGGTAAAATCACAGTTTTCCCTGCAAGCCTGACCTTGGAGCAGCGAACATATCCGTTGACACACTGGCAGGCATTACAGTCCTCTTCCCACCGGCTGCCGTGAGGAAACTGCAAGCCAGCATGACGACACGACTTCCCAAGTCCGATAACTGGAGGGAATAAATGAGAGAGAGTGGTTCAGTTAACAGTAATCTTCCAACTTACTTAACCGATCCTGCAGGAAACCCACCAAACCTTCAATAAACTGATTATTATTGGTGCCTCCAAGTAAACTTCACGACAAGACCCTTTGTCGTCAACTCATTTGAACTTAAATGCTAGCCAAAATCTGTTTATGCTGTATGAACTTAAACCACCAAAAATGTTCTGTACTCAAATTAACACGTTGAAAACACAACTTTACTACACTCATTTGAAGGCAGCATCAGATTTACAGAAAACACCAGCTTCCATTAAATGGGATTTATGTTCTAATGTGATATTTTTTATTTTGCTCCCATAACTTTGACCCGACAGCAGAGATAAAGTAACTGTAACACAAACATGGCAGCAAATCCACATCCATAAAACAAACCGTTGTGTTGGAGATTTATTGTACTCACACGCTTGACAGCGAGGTCCAGCGTGTCCCGGTGGACAAACACAGCGGTAGCCGTTGATTTCGTCCATGCAGGTTGAACCTTCGGCGCAAGGAGACGACTGACACTCATCTATGTCTGTAAAAAAACACAGCTGTTTTAACACATTGGGAATTATTAACTCCTGGGACTTTAACCCACTCATGCCCACAGTGGCAGTTTATTATTTCCTTTACAGTGCTCAAAGTACTCGCTGAGCTAGAGCACAAATATAGGGTTTGTTTTTTTTATTTTGCAGGAAAACACCTGGAAAAATAGGTTAGGAATTTTAGATCTCCACAGTGTTTGATACACACATAGTACGGACTGTTACAATATAGATTAAAAAAGAAAATGATAATCTGTTTTTTGGTCCAGTATTGCCTTTTCTTCAGACCGTAGAGACATTTTATGATGGTAAATGGTAAATGGACCTGTACTTGTATAGCGCCTTTCTAGTCTTCCAACCACTCAAAGCGCTTTTACACTATGTGCCACATTCACCCTTTCACACACATTCACTCAGTGATGGCAAAGTCCATCGAACAGAAACTAACATTCATACACATTCACACACCGATGCATGGCATCGGGAGCAATTTGGGGTTCAGTATCTTGCTCAAGGATACTTCGACATGTGGCACCAGGGGCTGGGGATCGAACCCACAACCTTCCGATTTAGGAACGACCCGCTCTGCCTCTGAGCCACAAATGATGTATTTGGCTGTATATCAAAACCCACAAGGAGTTGTGTCAAAAGCTTGGGAATACTGGAATCAGAAAAACATCACCTTCAATAATGTGATTTCAGTCTAAATCTGATATTTAACATGCAAAATCAATGTTAATATGTGGAATCAAACATTTAGATTTTGTCATGTGTCGCCACATGTCTTGTCAGTTACCACAGCAGATTTTGTGTTTCCACCTCTAACAGAAATACTAAATAAAGTCATTAATGGGTTATGAAAACAGGCCGTCCAGGTAATTCAATATAAAAACTGTGATCTCTTATTGAGTTTGGTCATAAAATACCTATAAATCATACAGGGAAAAGACAAGACTGATCCACGGAGTGAGAGAAATAGATTTGTTTCGGTATATTCCACAAAATAAATAAAATATTTCACACTTATTGTGCATCTAAAATCCTGAGTCATAAACAAAGAGCTGCAGTACCTTCTCTGGTAGCAAAAGAATCATTTTTTTCCTCTTAATTTATACATCTTACACAATTCTTTCTCACATTGTTGATTTCTTTCTGAAGCTTAACCTCAGCTGAGAAAAAAACGGAGCTTTGAGAGATCTGAATGTTACATTCAAATATCTTCAATGAGCGATGGAATTCAGAGAATCGCCCTTTGCACAAAGGGTTTATAGCAGTTTGGTTTGAAACGCTTCAATTGGATAACACTCCGGTTCTGAAAAGGCTTTTCTGAAGAGATTTCTCCCAGAAGGCCGCGGGAGAGCGCACTGACCCGTCTGACGAACCTCAGCTCTGACCTCGGCTCAGCGCCGAGGGGAGAGGTTAAGACCGTCTTCCTAAAAGGCTTCCTAATCTGTCGCCCTGAAACAATCGACTCACGCTCCCCCTGCCACGGCCTTTCACCTCTGACCCCCCGCCCACCTGACCCCTCCACACGCCCCCTCTGGTTCCCAGGGACTCACTGATGCGGCAGTCCGGTCCGGCGAACCCTGGAGCACATTCGCAACGGAACCAGTTCACGCCGTCCACGCAGATGCCGCCGTTGTAGCTGCAGAAAGGAAACAGAAAGAAACAGAGTTAGCTGCTGCTGAAGAGCTGATTGGATTCGTGAAATGTATCCTTTGGGGGGATAAAAGGTCTGCTTCTCCTTGCAGGTGGGCTTGTAAAAAACTAAACAAAACCCAGAGTCAACTCCTTTGAGGGGGAAACTGGCCGGAATACATTGCTCTGGAAAAGCTTGTCACATATGATTCTCATACTCATTCATTTAGTGCATTATTTAACCCAAAATTGCAGAAATTCAGTGGAAATCTGACTGCCTCATCTTACTCACTGAGCTGCAGGATGTACGCTCAGTCGGCTGTAATGATTTAGGTACCCCCATTTTCTAATAATTCCTCAAAAGTACAAAAGATTTCATACGAGTTTGGTAATTCCCCAAGAAGCTTCATGTGAAAATCAACATCACAAATTCCCCAACATAACTTCCCTTTTCTGTCTTATTTTTAGACAAACTCATATTTTAGGAGATAAAAAATCTGTCATCATCATCTGTGCCAACTGTTCTGAAAAATAACATTACACGGCCCTTTCAAGAAAACTTCTCAAGAAATGACCAGTTAGACAACTTTGCAGGGGAAAGAGAAGGAAACTAAAATAGTTCCTTCCTGCAGTAACATCAGTAACTGTTTGTCTCACTAACCCTCCGAGCTACAGACAAACTATCAGACTTTTTTTTCTCCAGAGACTCTGAGTGTCAGCAGGATGAAGCTGATCCCTGATCAATGTCCAGACTTCATATGTAAATCCCTGCTGACCACATACTGAGCCACCAACCCCCCTAACACCTCCACTTCTCACAACTACCCCCAGGACGAGACCGGTGAATGGTGAGAGGGGCGTCTCTTCACACTCTCCTGCCTCCCTCTCTCTACCACCCCCTCCTCCCAAAACCCCTACCACCACTAATCCACCTGTCAGTCATTGTAGAGGAGGGTGAGGAGGAGGGGGAGGCTTTTGTCCAGGGTAGCGTCTCTGATCCAGAGAAGCTGTCAAGAGTCGCTTGTTTTTCTCCACTTGTATGTTTTTGTACAAATCTTGTCATAAAATGTAAAACAAATTGAACAAAAAACACATTCAAATTTCCTAAAATGTAAGTTGATGCCTTTAAATGTCCTGTTGTCAGTCCAAAATCCCCAGATTTAAAGCTATATAAATCAGATAAAAGCAGAACATCCTCACATCTTAAGGAGCATATTTTTCGCACACAAATTCTTCTTTTCTTCAAACTGGACAGACTGACACCATAAAAAAATCTCCACTTCTGCTGTTTTCTTAGCACCAGTTAAAAATCTCAAATGTGCCAGAAAACTGCAGCTAACAGCCTTTGATAACTGCATGTTGAACCAGCACTGAACTCTACACAGCCATGAAAACAATCCACAACCAGTAGTGGCAAAAAAGGTGAAAACAATGTCTTTATTCTAAAATCTTCCAATATAATATTGAACAAAGTCTTACCAGGGATGTGGATTGCAGTCATCGACATCTGCAAGAGAGAAAAAAAGTTGGAAACTTAATTATTAAGATGTGACTATGTATATGTCGCTTTTATCTTTTAACCATCTTCAAAATGTGGTTGTCTTTTCAACAAAAATTAGCTTAGCACATAGCATATCTAAGTACAGGAAAGGAGAAAGTTGCCCGAGGTTGTGACTGAGGCTTGCTGAACTGTTAATGCCGCACAGAGCAAAGAGCCTAAAACTTATTTTTAACGTTCAGAAAATTATTGTTCATAACTCCTTAAACAGTGACGTACTCTGTGCACAGGTGGGTCCCTCCCAGCCGTCCTTGCAGATGCAGGTGAAGGCGTCTCCCCCTCCGACACATGTCCCTCCGTTCTCACATGGACCCGAGTCACATGTGCTGTTCTTGGCTAAAAAGAGAAAAAACAAGATTCCCTTTAATGAAATGTTTTTATTCTGAGAGAGCTGCTCCTTGGCCTGTGATCAGAGCCGCAACAACGTAATATATATCCTTGTATCATTACACTGTTATGAGCTGAGCTTTGACAGTGTAATTAGAGTGTAGCAAGAGCCTGACCTGTGTTGCAGGTGCTGCCACCCCAGCCTGAGGGGCAGCTACACAGGAACGAGTCTCCGTGGTCATAACACGTCCCCCCATTACTGCAGGTAGTGGAGTCGCACTGGCTCTCACCTGAACAGAGGAAACATGGGAAAAAGATTTTGACTCTGTGCCAGTGTTCAGTAGTGATTCATTCAGCTCCAAAATCACAGTTCAGAGACACCGTCAGAGGGTAAAACAAGCCTGCACAGTAGCCAGTTAGGGCACCATGCCTCAGAGAAAAGATTAAGGGGCTGAGGTAGTTAAAGAATATAAGACCTGACATGTAGGAGAACATGGAAACCGAAGACAAAGACACCATTCATAAGAGCTGCATTAGCTCTACGAGAACAATTAAAATAATCAGAATTTTAAGTATCACAAACTAATGCAACTTCTTCAAATTCATCTTACGACATGGGGCTGGAATGCCCATTTAAACTTCACACACATAGACATTTCCTTCTTTTTATTCCTTCAAAATCTCTAACAGAGATACATATTAACTTACGCGAGTGGCAGGTCTTTCCTTTCCAGTTGTCGACACAGTTGCAATAGAAGTCGTTCAGCAGATCGACACACTGGCCTCCGTTCTGACAGGGGTTCCTGTTGCACTCATTCACATCTGGAAAGTCAAACAATGGGTCAGTGCCAAGCGGCAACTTCTGTGGTTAAAAAAGTGCCAAAAACTGTTTCTGCAGTGCCTCCAACGACCACTTGAGGCTGGCTCCAAAAGCAAGTCAATCTCTATAAGGCCCAACATTAAAATGTCAAACTTTGCAGCAGAAATAAATGGTTTTGGTGTCTATACTCATTTCTAACATTATATTAAGGCTTAAAGTTATGCATAATTAAGGGCGTGGCCACTCTCAGGCATTTCTTTTTTTTGTAACCAGGCTTCATTCAGCCTGCTTCAGCTCCAGAAGAAGATGATTAGCAGGGAGGAGTCAGGACTGCTGAGATGGTGGTGTCCAGATATGACCACAATGAGCTTCAAAGCGGCTGTTCAGAAACCTGTGGGTGATGTCACAGAGACTACACCTATTTTTAATTGCACAGTCTATGGTCAGTTCAGTTATTTTAGTTATAATCTTCTGATAACGTAGATCTACATTCCTAAAATGTCTGGAAGCACAAAAATAACTTTAAGATTAAGATTTAAGATTATGACCTTGCATGTGGCTGTTTGGTATGCAGGAGATTTATGAGATTGCTATATTATTATTATCTATATTATTTTTGTATAGTCAGTTGACAGCTTTACACTCTAAAAGGTGGTTGATGTTTATTTGTTTCTGCTTTTGTACGTCTTACTTCTCTCAATATTAATATAAGTAATAGTGTCATCTGCAAATGTGCACACTGACCAATGCAAGTAACTGGCATATGCTAGTTACAAAACAGATTGCACTTATCTCCAAAACAAATCCTCCATTGTTGTGTCTTCCATAAGATTCTCAGACTGCTGATCATTCCTCAGTTGCCGGAGGCCAGTGATAGATTTTTCCAAGATATGTGACTCCCAGGCAATATGACTTAGCAAGGCTCTTCCCTAAAACTTGTATACCTGTCCTGATGCTCACACTGACCCCCTACAAAAGACAGCAGCAAAGTTACACACACATACTCACCAACATCACACAGACTGCCCTCCCAGCCGTCTGGGCAGAAACACTGGAAGGAGTTGATCCCATCGATGCAAGTGCCTCCGTTCTTACAGGGGGATGACGCACAGTCATTGATGTCTGCAGGCAGAGAGAGGAGAGATTACAGAAGTAAATCTTATGTTTTGGACTTATTTAATTAAAAAAAAACAAAATCCAAAGAATTCCAAATATTTATCCACAAAATTTTAATTCATACATTTTCATTGGCAACTTTAACATTGCAGCTCAGTCTTTTGGTATGATAATAGCATCTGATGAACTCTTAACTGTGCTCATGCTGTAGGAGCATCGGCTTTGTGTCTAATATGTGAATATATATATCAAATTACAACCATTATGTTTTGGTCTTTTTCACATTTCAGAAGTAAAAACACGTCTTGCGAAGCTAGTTCTTCCTGTTCCTTTCAGCATTTAAGAATTAGAGAACATGGGTGATTTTGAAAAGCATCCTGTGCTAGTACAAAACCCAAAAACTGCAAAGTAATCGGATGTGAAAGAATTTTTCTGCACAGATAACAAGCTCTCTTCCTGCTCATTTTTGGCTCCGGATTTCCTTTTTGCGCTCTTTTTCCTTCTGCTGTAAACTAAACTAAGAGACTGATGATTAGTGACACTGAGTCTGAATTACCGTAAGAATCATGTGGTTCCCAGTGAGGGTAACTGATGATAAATATAGTCTGTGTGTTGAGCTAATAATGACTCACTCTCGTGGCAGTAGGTGCCAGTGAATCCCGGCTCACAGGAGCAGCTGAAGTTCCCGGCAGGCAGGCTGATGCAGCGGCCATGGGGGCCACACACATTGGATGAGATGTGCCATACCCGCTTTTGGGTGTCATTGGTTGCCACAGCAACGGTGCAACTATCAATCACTTGTTGAAGTGGAGAAAAAAATTAAAGAGATGATCAGCAGGGCAGTAAGTCAGAATGGAAAGTGTCTTATTTCCAGCTTTGTAATTTGAAATCAGAGATAGAAGGATTCTCCTGGTACCTTGACACTGGTTGGTCTTGCAGTGGTCCTTGAGCTCTGAGCAGGTTTTGCCCTCGTAATCGTCTGGGCAGCTGCAGTAGAAGTCTCCCATCAGACTGTGGCACTTGGCTTTATTGTGACATGGGTTCGGGCTGCATGGGTCATTCTGCACCTACAGATGGAAAACAGGGAGGTAGAGGTGTGTTCTCAGTAAAGGTTGAAAGCACCAAACTGCTCTTGCAGTGAATCGCTGGATCTAGTCCTCACCTCACAGGTTGTACCAGCGAAGCCTTGCGGGCATTCACACACGAAACCGTCCAGCAGGGCGTGGCAGCGGCCACCGTTCCTGCATGGACTGCTGGCACAGCGGTTTCTCTGAACCTCACAGTGCCGACCCACGAATCCCGGCTGGCAAACGCACTGGTAGCCTCTGGCCACCTCCTGGAACAAAAGCGAGAAGTCATCAAGAGCTCTGTTGTCACATTTGATGCAAATGATCAAGGTGTATTTTATAATGAAAGAAAACTGGTTTTGTTCAAGCACCCAACAGCACATGCAAATCCCTATTCTCCTTGCTCAGTGCTGGGATATTTTCTCTTTTATGGACTATGTTGAGCTTCAGAACACTTAGCTAGACAAAGATTTGCGGATATTAGCATATTTAACTATATGAAATTATATGAAACCAATAAATACATTTCAGCCAAGCACTCCCTACAAGACAGTACCTTTATTTTGTACTTATTCACTCGCTTTCAGGAATTTGGCAATCAATGTGTCAAAACCAGTATACCCCTGAGCATTTTCTTTTATGTTCTGACAGGTACTCTGATCAGCGATATTCTTGTTCCAACTCCATTACTGCAGCATGTAACATTAAAAGAATATATAAATTCAACAAAGACCTCTGTGTTTTTGAAAGCTATAAATACTCCACATCTGACATTTATGTATCTCACCTTGCAGTTCCCTCCGTTCTGACACTGACCATGGCAGCTGTTCACATCTGTGAAGGAGACAAACACAGAGAAGAGATCAGCTTTGTGTCTGACACATCGGGTAGGTGAACATGCATTGGTGCTGGAAAATGCAGCTACTACAGAAAAGCAAAGCGATCCATGCCTAGATGAAATGTCAGATGCAGATTCAGAAGTGGGTGTAGTAAGAACATGCAACAAAACCAAACTGCAGAAGTCAGAACTAGAGTCAAAATGTTCTATTAATGATTTACAACAGTTGGGGGAAAAAGTCAGTTTTAGTCGTATAGTTTAGAACAATATACTTTAGAGGAATCAGGCCAGGGTGTGGCAGGTATAAACAGCCATCTGTGAGGCAAGAGAAAGGAGAATGAATAAAAGGCTTAAGTCCAGACCCCTCAGCTAGTTAGCTGCTGTTCCACTAGCATTTCAATAGATTTTCTCTCATCACTCTTTCTGAAAAGCCAAAACATGTTTTCTGTCCATATTCCAAATAGTATTTACCACTGTAAACCAAGACTTTTTTTAAGCAAGAAAAAGCTAAGATTATTTTGCTAGTATTCAGCATCCCATGGGTCTTATCCAAGCCCAAAGTAAAATATAAACAACTAAACAAACAAACAAAAAAAAGAGCACGGATTATTTGTTAGCATTCAACTACATAATAGGCTACGCCGTGAGTATCCATTAGCATGCCTTCAAAGACTCATAGGAGCAGCTAGTAAATACTAATCTATTCTGTCCAAATCCTAAAATAAATTAGTATTTAGTACTGTACTAGATAGTATATTAATGTATTAAAACTAAGGCTAGGATTATTTTTCTAGCATTGCCAGCAAGAACTGGCCATTAGTGTGCTCTCAAATGGAAGCTGAAGCTGTTCAATGCTTTCTTGAAGTGTAAATTTGACTGTCCAGTATATTCATTCATCTGTATTATTATTTTAACCTTTAAGAAAGACTGATAAATAACAAGAGATGAGTTTGACAGAGAAAGACGCTAATGAAACCGAAGCTAGCTAGCAAAGAGGACTTCAGGTCTAACAGTGCTACAGGAAGGTGGAAAGAGGCTGAAGACTAATGATTTGCTGGGTTGATACTAACTGATGTCACAGTTCTGGCCCACCCATCCACGAAAGCAGGCACAGTGATATCCACCAATCAAGTTTTTGCAAGAGTAAGCATTGAGGCAAGGCTTCCCCATACACTCATTAACGTCTGCAAAATGGGACGAGAGACACAGAGAGAATGAATGAGAGAGCCAAGAACCTGCTCAGAAGCCCCATCACCAAGCGTAGCTTCTCATTGTACAACACAACAAAATTACACCAATCATTCTGATTTACAACTTTATTCTGTTGACGACTAAAACCCCTTTCAGACATCTAACGTTTCCGGCTTTATCCACCAGTCACAAAAATGGCGTTTAGGCGAGAAAGTTTCAATGCTGATTTTTTAATGACTTGATTGATGGCCGTCAGGACTGTGGGGGGTACTCGCTCCTGTTTCTCACTGTTAGTAGATCCCTATATACAGTTTCAGAAGTAGATATGAGAAGTAGAACTCAGTTGTATATTTCACACAGTCCAACAGTGTCCAAGCACAGGTAAAACTGTCAAAATGTTTTATTCAATCTCTATATTTGTTCCATATTGTTCAAGAAAAACATCTCTACATATTAAAATAGGTCAATATATTAATTATTTTCTTTCTTAATTGCATTAAATCACAATTAAATACAACCTTTTACGCATATAATGAGAATATTTGACCCTGTGTGTGAAGCCTTTCTGTTAATGTGACTGTATTCAGTTACGTTATTAGGTACCATGTCGTCAAAGCTTTTATGACTTTTATGGGAAAACGACGTGGGGTCTTTTTCAAACATGTAAAATTGCTAGAACATTTACAGGGTGAAGTTCATGTCTGACAGGGTTTAATTTCGCCCCACTGCTTTATCCTCGCCCCCCCCCCTTTAGGGTTAATGTCTCTCTATTGCATTCCCTGAAGGCCAACCTGCGGCATTCCAAGTGGTCAGTTTCAGAGGCAGCTAACGCCGCCCCCGTCGCGCCGCCTCGCTCACTATAAACCGACACAGTACATTAATACGACTCCCAGGAGGTAAGTGGCACCTGTTGGCCTGCTGAAACTAAACACTCCCAGCCCCTTCCCAAAAACCCAACCTCCCCCACCACCACCACCACTACCCTTCCTCCTCATCTCGCTCGCTTTCAGGTATCACCCAGCTCCCTGGAAAGGGGAAGCGCTCTGAGAACAATAATAACATGAGAATCCATAACCCTCCCCGCGCGTGTTTACAGGTTATAAAGTGTTTCCTGGCTGAAGTCGAAGGGGGTGAGGGCTCCACTATGCCGGGGCACCGCCTCACCGTAGCGTACATATTCCCCTGTTACGCCCAGTCTGGAGCCAAAGATAACCCCCCGGTGGAGTATATTTGGTCTCAAGGCTAGCAGTTGCCAGGCGGGAGGTTATTTTTAGCTTTACTCAAGTCACCTGGCTCGAGTTGCAGATGATACCCAGCGAGCATCTCTGTTATACACAAACACACACATACACTCAGTAGAAATTGGTGACCCTCCTGCAGCTAAATATCCTATAACTCTTCAAGCAAATTAGATTCCTGCAATGAATTTGCACACATGGCATTCACGGTAGGTGCAACACACAGAAACACATCACCGCAAAAATACCATCCAACATGCAACTGTTGTTTTATGCTCCAAAAACGATGACACATAAGATTTAGAGCCTATTCTTGTGTTCATCAATCATTTAGCGAGGCGTACCTATCTGGCAGGTCTTGCCTGTCCACTGTGGAGGGCAGAGGCATTCGAAGCCGTTCTCCATGTCGATGCAGATTCCGCCCTGAGCGCAGGGACTGGAGGCACATTCATCTGTGTCTGAAATATAAAGGAGAGGAAACTCAGTCACTCTCACTCAATAGTTTTTCTAAAAGTCTGATCTCACACCACTAGTACCACTGGTGACACCGAGTATCAGCTACTTTGGAAGCTGGTCCTCTTTAAACCTGAAAATTAAGCTGGACAATTACCCCATTTAGTTCTGTTCCCAACTTAACATAACAGGACATAACCTTGGTGTCCTCAGTGGGAGCTACGACTCTGAGACATTAAAGGGATAAAATACCTGGGCAGAAATGGTACAGCAAAATCTCGACTGGTTGATTGAATGATGAAAAATAACCCTAACTCTTAACATTAAGTACCAAGAGTCAAATGCTGATCAACCAGTAATTGGAGAAAAGGGAAAAAGACATTTTCCAAAAAAGACCAAATGGTTGATCTCATTGCTTTGTCTCATCTGCGGAGAGTTATTATCACCTTGAGCGCAGGTCAGCCCGGACCAGCCTGCTGGACAGTGACACTCAAAGCCTGATGGGACCTCGTGGCACGTCCCTCCGTTGGCACATGGGTTGGACACACAGGCGTGCTCCGCTAGAGGGAAAAAAGATTGGGAAAAGCAGGATTAATTATACATCTTTCATCAGATTTCTCTTTTGAACTTTGGATTGAACATGTGAGTGGCACAGAAATCTGGATTTTGGATTTAGAGACTCACCGATCTCGCAGTTCTTGCCAGAGTAGCCGTCTGGACAGGCGCAGTTATACTCATCTGGCTCTGTGTTCATACACGTCCCTCCGTTCTTACAGGGCCGGTTAGTCCCACAGTAGTTCAGATCTGCACAGCAAAGAACACTGATGTGACCTACACTGTCTAAAATACAGCCGCCATACACAATAACTTGTTGTTACAGGCTTTTCTTTCTTACAAAAGCATTGATTGTGGGTTACGAGGAGCACAATGTAGGAACATATTTACAGAAAATGTAATTTCTACTTTAGTTCCCTGCATCTTGACCAACCATGTCCTCATGCGACTTGTGTGGCGCAACGCAGTCATGCTTCAAAGGACCATGACAGTGATTTTGCATGTTTTAGCCCATATACTGGAAATCAAAAATACTTCACAATGACTCCTGACTGTTTCGCAAGTCAAACTGTAGTGTACTTTCCTTCTAGGCCACCGTTGGTTTCCATTTATTTCGAAACAGTGAGTAATTTTGTCAGTTATTTTTCATATCAGTACAAGCAATGTCAAACCACTACCTGGCTGAAAAGTAATAAAAACAGTATGTTTTAGAAAAGTAATAGAAAATATAATATGAATGATCAAAAGTTAAGGAGCGAAACTTGCAAAAATATACAAAAGAAATAATCTTTATACCAAAATTAACTCATAAATGTCATCGACAATCTGAAGCCAATACAGTTGCCTTTGACTTATAAATATCCATGATATGTATAGATGCAGTATTGCTTTGTCATGTAAACACTGTGCAGAGGAACATCTGACCTTTGTCACAGAGCAGACCTCCCCAGTTCTTCTCACAGGTGCACTGCCAGGGCTCGTTGCAGGTGCCGTGAACACATCCAGGATACGGCAGGCACTCGTCGCAGAGCTGACCCTGCCAGCCGTAGTTACATCTGTAACACACAGTGGGGAGGATTGTTAGTTCTTATACTCATACAGTGACACATAACTACACACCTGGATGGAATACTGGAAGAATGAAGTATTTTCCCCTAACGGCAAACTAAACTGCGCATAAACATATCTAATCACTTGTAATGGAGTCATTTATCGAATGCTTTATTGTTGCTTTTATTTAAGTAAGATTCTTGAATACTTCCGCTGATAATCAAAGAACAGATCACAGAGAACAGAGTTCATCGGGTTCAACGGTAGATCTTTTGGTAAAATAAGTGCCTCTTATTTCACAAGCACACTGAGAATGTGTTCTTATTTACAGCTCTGTCCTGAGGGAATATCAGGCACACAGATGCACTTAATAACGAAGGGGGAG